TCCTCATTACGACTTGCTCAGTCCTATCAACAATTCTCTGCGCGTTGCGTGAGTACCTTGAGTTAAAGGACCATGAAGCAGTACCTAGCCTACCACCCAACCCGCACCACAAGGAGTCGAAGGTAGGTGTTGCACGGCCACCACACAAGCACCGTTATCTCTATCGAAAAGCCGTTCAGCCTATACCAACGACACCATACCCTGAAAATGACGGCATGACCCCATATGACGATCTTGTTGATATTCTCTTCCCCCACCCGGCTTTCATGAAGTGGATCTCGCTTGTGACCGGAATTACACTCACAAAGAGTAATATCTTTGCGCGTCGCTTCCGCAGAGGACTAGACTATACACTAGCAACAGCGTACGAAGAGGAAGACCCACAACTCGAAGTATGTCTCGGAATTACCCCCTCGCGCGGCTGGGGCGACGAAGACGAAGAGCCCGATGAAGCAGCAGCCTCCCAGCCGGAGAAAAACGGCAGTTCCAACAGCAAGTCCAAGAAGAGCAGCAAGAAGAATGGCAAAGCTCCAGAGCCCGAGCCCAAAGCCGAGGAAGAAATCGGCGGCTACGAGATGTACATGGCAGGTGAAGACGACGAGCACCCTGCCGTTCCCACCTCCTCCGAGCCATCTACCTCCACCGGCGCTGGTCAACGTCGCAAAGCCAAAGCCGACCCCGCTATCTACAAGTCTGCCGGTGACGACGAGGACGATGGTATCTTGTTTAGCCAACCCGCTGCGTGGAATAACATGGCCATTGTGCTCAGGGACAGGGGTGTGTTGCGGTTCACAAAGTATGTTAGCAAGAGCGCCAAGGGAGATCGATGGGATGTCTGCGCAGAGTATGGCGTGGAGTTTGGTGAGGACGAGGATGATGAAGATGATGACTAATGGGTATGATGAGGTATGGAGTTTTTTTGCAAAGTTTTTTGCAATCGGCTTAGGCTGTTTATGGATGGATAATCGATGCATGGAAAAGGAATTCTTTTGGTATGTATGTCGTTTAGCAATGATATGAAGATTATGGACCGATATGGATGTTGCACAATCATATCCATGTTGGTCATACTCTTGAATCGTGAGAGAGAGGCTGCACTTTCTTCGGGGGTCTTCTTGCGGGAGATTCGTGTATTGCAACGCTCGGCAGTCAAGGCAAGGCCGTAGACGAGATCAGGAAACACGAGTGAGAGGCCACCTCGAGTCATGCCGTGACGAGCAATTCATTGAGCTACTCAGAGCACCTCATTAATGGCAATAAGATTTCTTCAACCTTGACGTAAACTTCTTGAATTCGTATTACACTCGACGTATGGTCGCAGCTAAACCACTGCTGCTCAAGCATTAGAGACCACATTCCTTCTTAAACTTCTTCTCAAAGTATACCACATCCACCACTGCAGCTCAAGCATACTGGTCTATATCCTTCTTGGACTGTTGATGAAAACATTATCCACGTTCACCACAACACCCTCACCCACAGCCTCTTTGACCGCTTTCACTACCTCAGCGGGACGACAGTGTCGGGTCGGGATGAACGAAACTGTGCACTCCTTCAAACTATTAAAAGGCGTGAGAAAATCTAGGTCCTCCCTCATCCACTTCGCGTGATGTAGCCCAATATACCGAATCGCAGCACATTGTCGCTCAGAAAATGGATTGTCGTATTGGAAGTCGACTTGGAACATGTTGAGGGAGTAGGGCATCAGTGCATATTCAGCGTTTAGCTGCTGGCATGTGAGAGTTAGGGCTGCGATACATTGCCAGTCGTGTTGCTTGCGGTTTGCGTCATGGCACTTGATGGTCCAGTAGGGGCGAGATGAGATCCTATAATCTATGCGGTAATCGGGTGATATACCAATATTGTAATTACTGAGAGCGTAGGTGGCGATGATGTCGCGAACTTCCCTTGGTAGACGGAGGAGAGGGGATTGCGCTTGGTTGCGTTGTGTGCTACTACTGTTAGCTCTGTTGCCCACGATACACTTCGCTTTGCGCAAACTCACATTATGTTTGCTTCAGCGGTTGAGAGACCCTCCTTCTGGTTGCCGTCCACGTTATCTTTGCCCTGATCTAGGGTGGAGTGCACATGATCAGTGTTTGGGTGCGGGTCGGTCATCGTGTCCGAAGACTGTTCGAGGCACAGTCGCGTGGCGCAATCTCGATCCCTCAGTTCAGGATGCGGTGGTGTTAGTTGCTTTGGAGTGCTCCATACGTAGAAATGGTCCCTTGTGTATGAAGTGGCCAAGCGCTAGTAGGCAGCCTAACGATTTCTGGGCGAAAGAAACACAACACAGGTTCAGCGTTTGCGATAACTTGATGTCATACGATTACAATAAGAACAAGACCTAGTCACCCCTTAACCTCATATTACACTCAACCTATGGTCTTAGCTATATTACTGGAGCTCACCTAGGCAAGCATTAGAGACCACGTTCCTTCTCAAAGTATAGCACATCTCAGCCAAACCATTTCCGCCCAAGCATACGAGTTCTTAGACTTTTTATGTTATTATTATCTGCACACACCACAACCCCTTATCGTATTCACTACCTCAATGGGAGAATAGCATCAGGACAGACTAAACGAAACCGTGCACTTCTTCACCCCCTCAAACTGCATCAGAAATCCTATGTAGATCCTCCCCCAACCACCACCTCGCGTAATCTAGCGGATTTTCACTTTCCCATCTAACTCCCGTATTCGAAAATAGAACAAGTCCCCGATGCATACATATCTAGCTTAGCCTCGCTTTCTCCTTGGCATAGTAGCGGAGGCAAACAAAAGTACGAAGGGGCTAATTGCGATTACCGACGAGACAAGGGCAGGACAGCGAAGATCAGCATCAGACGGGGCGACTGCACGTGGCGACTGCACGTGGCGACTGCACGTGGCGACTTGAGATAGTGTTCGGCAAGGATAGAATAGACTTTGGAATGATCATTGTTCAGCCTTAACAGGTAATTCACCAGCCTGATAGAGCTAGGTTGCTGCTTACAGTGAGTACTAGATCTTTAAATTTTCCATTTCGGGGTCTATCCTTACTGAAGACTGGACTGAGGCTCTACTCCTATGGCCAGATTCACAAGACTGCATACCTCAAGCTATGTGAACTGGCATTGCACACACTCGTCAAATGAACGGACCCGTACATCCCAGACTCTAAATCAAGCCGAGTGATGATTGCGCAGCTGTTGAGGTTGGTAGTGTGGTCTTTTGGGCGGGGGAAGGCACTGGAAATAGGTATAAAAGTGAAAGAAACCGGCAGATGCATGTTCATACATTCCCACCTTCTTGGAGCGTCCTTCCAGATATTCTATTCACCTTGTCTTCGATGGCCGAACATCTAGACTCCACTTCTTTGGCCAATAACCAGTGGGTGTCCACTGGCGCTATGAACGATACAATCTCCATGGAACCGGGACCTAGCGCCTATGGACTTTTGCAGGAGCGGCCTTGGCTGCTCTTGGTGATTCCTGTTGCCATCCAGATCATCAAGATGGTCTATCGTGCCCACATCCATACCTTGCGCCACATTCCTGGGCCTTGGATCAGCTCAGCGACATCCCTTTGGATCCGTTGGCAAAGGTGGCATGGCCGCCTCTCATTCGAGGCCGACAAGCTGATGACAAAGTACGGATCCATCGTCAGGATTGGCCCCAATCTCATCATTTTGAACGACTCCGAGGCCGTTGAAAAGATCTTTGGGAGGAAGGATCTAGACACTTCACCCACGTCTATTCGTGCTTTGCGCGTTGGCGGTCACGACTGGACAGTCACTTATCCGCAACATCCTATTGCACGTCAACGCCGCCATCCAGTCATGATCGCAACAACAACAAAGAGCCCTAAACATCGACATGACATTTTTGTCACTAACACCGAAGCTATGGTGCGCGATCTTGCACGGTCCGACGGAAGCAAGTCAGAAGACATTGTAGACACCTCCGCATCTGCACCTTGAAGAATTCTCAGGTCATCATAGGAGGTTCTAGCGTGGATCTACAGTGTGACTCTTTTCCTCGAATTGTGGGAGAATACAATTTCCTCGTCGTTTGGAGGCTCTGTCTTCCCGACTGGCTGTTTACCTGGTTGCAATACAGTCCATTCGAACATGCTCGATTCCGCGTGCGCTCAAGCGATGCCCCATTTGACCTAGGTAGTGCATTATGTCAACAGGCCGCCGAAGGAAAAGACATGAGCGAAGAGGATCCAAGCGTCTACCAATTGTTCACTGATACAAGCGCCAAATATCCTACACAGTCATGGACAAACCCCGAACTCGGCGCGGAGATGGCTGGCCAAGTCCTCGCTGCCACTGAAACCACCTCTTCCGCACTCGCTTTCATCTACTACGAACTAGCCAAGAACCAAGAGCTGCAGCGAGAGGTCTACAAAGAGCTGTGCGCCCACGAAGGATACGAAGAACTCAACTCTCTCAAACTACTAGACGCATGCATCAAAGAAGGACTAAGATTTCGCCCGCCAGTAGCACTCACCGGAAGTCGTATGGTACCAGCTGGCGGCATGGACGTCCTTGGCTACTACTTGGCCGCAGGCACCGTCATCATCACGCAATCCCTTTCGATGAGTCGTCAATGCCCCGATCTCTTTCCAGACTTCGACAGCTACAACCCACTGCGCTGGCTCGATGAGGAGAACAGCGCTGAGAAACGGCGTCATCTTGTCCCATTCGGCGTCGGCGCTCGTCGCTGCCCAGGAGGAAACATGGCGACGTATCAAATGCGTATGATTCTTGCTGCTACTTTTCGCGCGTTTAGGATCACCTTGGCGCCCGAGACAACGCCAGAGAAGATGGCGCCTTTTGAAGCTAATGGATATCGCTCGCGCCATGACAGGTGTGACCTGGTCTTTACGCCACGGTTGGTGTGAGTATGACTGTCCAAATTGTTACCATATACCCGAATAATACCCGTGTTGATCTTTCCAAAAAATCTATATGAGAAATGGGTTTTCCTGCCATCTTGGAAGATGCAAGTGAAATTGATGCCCTTGATTACTATCGTCAAGGAAACGCAGGATGAGCTCTTTTCAATATCTACATTTCTACCCTGTTCTACCACATAAACCCCGCAACCACCCATAATTGCCATCAAGTCCCCAATCACCCCAAACACTAAGCCATCACAACTTAGCCTCCCCGCCCAAACCCACAAACTCCTTTTCTTCTTGACGAACCCCCTGCCACGCCTCAGTAACCCCCCAAAGTTTGCTTACCCCAATCTTCTCTAACACCGCACCCCTGTCCTTCCTATAGACACCATCATACACCCCCTCCTCAACTTCCACAACACCCTCCCGTTTAAACACTACCACCTTCCCCGCCCCAGCCCATCCCTCCTCATTAACAAACCCCAGAAAACGATCCTGCATACTCCGCGCAACAAACCTATCACGCTCATCAAAGTGCTCATCGAAATTCTGTAGGAGAAACGCGAGATCGAGTTCATGAGACGCCAGACCCTTGAACGGTCCTTCTATGGGATTGGGGACGTGGAAGTGGTATCTTGAGGCGCGTTTAGGTGGTGAGCAGGCTTTCCAGCCTTGGTAAGCTGTCAGTGCTGGGAGGTAGAAGCGGAGTTCAGATACGAGCTCGAGTAAGCGGGTTCCTTCTTCTTCTTTCTGTAAGGGATGGGTTAGGCCGTACGCGGATAGGAGATCCTGGGTTTCAGAGTGTGTGAGATGGGCGTTGCACGCATTTTTGAGGCGCGTGATGCGGTCGGTGTGGTCTAGGATTCGGCTCTTTAGAACGAGGCCGTCGTGCGCTGTGTCTCCTATTACGAATTCTTTGCACCAGGATGGCTTGTGGATGGGACTTGAGCCGTTTGTCAGTGCCTCAATGGTGACGGCTTGTGTTAGGAAATGGCCGTCGATAGTTGCGCAAAAATGCTGGGATAAAGGAAGTTTCTGGGCTAGCTCTACTGCATCGCTGTGCAATAGAGCTTTGCGCCTTCCTTCTGTGTCCTTTACGTCCAATTTTAGGTATTGAGATTGATCCTCGTACATCTTTTGATGCCACCATTTGTTCCTCCATTTACGTAGTGTTGCATCGCCACTCATGAGAACCACTCTATCGAAGAGTCCTTCGGCCCCGACGTTGGCACAAAGAAGCGTTGACAAGGAGATAGCTCCTGCAGACTCGCCTGCAGCAGTGATGTTGTTTGGATCACCACCGAACCCAGCAATGTGCTTCCTGATCCACCGAAACGCCAGGACCTGATCTTTGTAGCCCATATTCCCCTCTGCACCAATATCTTCGCTTGCTAGAAACCCAAAGACGTTGAGTCGGTAGTTGATTGAGACGCCAATAACAGGCTTACCGATCTTTATACTTCTTTCAACGAATCTCTTTAGATCGTATTGCGGCCAGCTGTTTGATCCCATGGCCAGTCCACCGCCATGCACCCACACGAACACTGGTAGTCCACGCGTGTCTCTCTTTCCTGTATTCATAGTAGACCTGGGTACCGTAACGTTTAAATTCAGACATTCAAACTCTTCCATCTTTTCCGTTTCCCCTTGTCCATGTTCGCAAGACAAAACAGCGTCTCCAGTCAACGTCAGATCCCAAGCCTGCGCCCCCCGCAAATGCGGACACGAGGGCCCTAATTGAGTTGCATCCACAATATCGTCCAATCCAGGTTTCAACGTATCATTAGGAACCGAATCCTTGTACCGCGCCGGAATCGATGCATATTTGAGGTTTCGGAACTGGACTGTGGATGGTGATGTCTTGCCGCGTATGTACCGGTTTAGTGTAGGATGCTTCAAGACCTCTCCGACTGCCGACATCGTTCCTGGATCGTAGATAGATCTCGAATTGACTTGGGATAAGCGACAACATCCATGGCAGTTGCTTTATAACCGGGTATACTAGACATCCCGCATTCCCCGGAGTCAATGGCATGGATGTGGGGAGATGTGGGGCTGAACCTCGGTAATGGGGGCACCTGGGTGTCATAAAATACTGGACAGCGTGGGTAAGCACCCAACAGACGTGTCTGGCGACTACAGTGGCCTTTTGCCGCTAGTATGTCAAGTATTCCATGGCACCCGGGTGGGGGCGGTAAGATATCAATGGCTGGATAGGTCGATACTTTTGTGTTCTGTTCTACATACTTTATTCAAGATACATAGGCTCGTACAGCGCAGAGACAGCTTTTGTGGTGACTTTAATGGTGGTGCGTAACATCTGACTCAACAAGCCAGCAAGCCGCACACATGCAATATGCAAGACAACGGTGTTTTAGCTGTGTAAACCGGCTGAGATTGCTCATACCACAGGACTTCCAGCACTCAGCAGAACCGAGCTAACAGAATGCCCAAACGAACATCTCAGGTACTCTTACACACGTTCTCAGTCCTCGCTTTTACAATCCATGCCCCTAAAACCATGACGCCCATAAACACCATAACCCTCCTCCTTCCACCTTGGCTCTCTTTCCAACGGGTGTAACCTCCCTCTTCCCCCTCAGTTGATAAAGTTGACACAGAAGAAGTGCAACAACAAGCTCCCAAAGATGAAATCCGCAAACGCACGCTCATGCGAGATGTTCTCAAAGTGCGCCTTGTTCTCCGAGTTTGTTTGGATGCGCAGCGAGGCAGTGAGGACGAATTGGCCGACGGTAGCGCTGAAGCCGCTGAGGAAAGCGTTGAATGGCTATTGTACACAAAAAAACATATCAGTATTCGTACATGTCAAAGTGGATTGTGGAGGCTTGGGACTCTGGGGTAAGGACGTACAAAGTTACCAACAAGCACCACATAAGCAAATTGCAGCACACCGACCGCAACCAGGAATGCCATAAAGACATCCAACAGCTTGGTCCTCTGGGGGGTTTTGGAAACGTATTTATCCCATATTCCCTGTGCAATGGACGCCGCGTCGGTATTCTTCGAGTTGGCTTTGCTGCTCCGCGAGGAAGGTGCCGGGGAGGAGATGCTTTCGGTCGATGCGGATGTGCGAGATTTGGGCGCCATCGTAGAATTGTTTGCCTTGTTTCTTTTTGGGGAAAAGACGGTGGGCGGGAGACGATTAGGTGGAGCTGTTTTGGTGATGGTAAGCTTGCGATTGAGGCCAGATAGTTCGCGATGGGGGTCCGAGCTCAGCGAGGGCGGGCGCGCGTCCCTGTCCGCCGTCGTCGGCATGTTCGGAGGTCCGGGGTGGATTCCCCGCTGATGTTGTCATGAATGTGGTCCGTCTGCTCAGGCCATCTTTCTCGGGTCATTTGTGTTGTTTTATACTTCATAAACCTCGACGCTCTGTTGTTGCGGAAGATATTCAAAACTTTCATCTTCGCTTCCCCAAATCACACACAATGGTGAGTGAGTGCGAGGCCCCGGTGGCATCATATCATCTACATGCTCGAGATAGCTATCGTGCGCGAGTCAGGACCAACCACAGGGTCGAGGATGCTAATTGAAAGTCATAGGGCTCTCTCGGAAACATTGCTCTTATTCTCGGTGCCCTCACGGCTGGAGGCGGTATTACCGGCTATGTGAGGACTGGATCCGTGCCCTCAATCGCCGCTGGATGTACCGTTGGTCTCTTAGTACGGCTACCCTTCTTTGACCGGCCAACAACTTCCCATGCATCTAACAATCGCAACTAGTACATGCTCGGAGGCTATCGCGTAAACAGCCGCGCGGCTTACGGAATCGAATTGGCTCTCCTTGCCTCCATCATTCTCGCCGGCAGTTCGATCCCGAGAGCAATCAAGTCTGGAAAGCCGCTACCTATCGGATTGAGCATCCTGGCTACTTTTGGACTGTGGACTTTTGGAAATGCGTACATGACTAAGCGTGGATGAGAAAGAGGTGCTATCCGAGTTGGGTCGGGATGGGGTAATGATACTATGAGATTATCATTGAATGCCCTTTC